TATTTTTAAATGAATGTAATTAATTTACTGTATTTTTAAATGAATGTAATTAATTTTTTAATTTACTGTATTTTTAACATGGGTGGCAATTTGCTGGCTGGGTGGCAGGCGATGTGAGAGCCATCGACAGCGGTACCATGGTTGAGTTGGGATCAAATTTAGGTAAACGTAGGAAAAATGAGCGGACGCCTGACATTTTGTCATTTGCAACCGTCTAACTTGACGCCAGGGCAACATTCAATAGTTAATTTAACGCGACAAGACATCATTATAAGGAATCGCATAAAAACGCCAACTTTGGATGACATACCAGTTAGAGAGGAAGAAGACGATACAACCATCGAAGCCGATGACGAAGATATTATTAGTGTTTCTTCTGTACAGTTTAATGACATGAATCCTTCCAGTAGAGTTTGAAGTAAATACAAAAACTGTAATTGAAAGAAAGAATAAGTTTTTCATTTTCCAAAAGGCAAGTTGGTTTTTTTGGCGGACGAAAATAGTGACATTTTAAAAGCAAAATAGCAAAAGCAGCATAGCAAAATATGCGACAATTTTAAAGATGAAACATAAAAAATAGAACTTTTACTGACATTTGTGTTTTGTCTCTTTTCCTCCTTCATGTACTTCACTATCGTTCTTTTGTGCAAAATTTATCAAATCTAGTAAAGGGCTGCAATAACCGTACTCGGTTGTACATGAAAGTAGTAAAACACCAAAAAATTTAGTTGTTTAGATTTATTATGAAATCATATTTTGTTAAATATTTTGTCTGGTATTTTTAAATCCTTCAGGTAATGGGTTTTAATATTTAGTATTAGGGAATTTTCATTAAATCTTCATTAATCCCTTTGATTTTATTACTGCTTATAATTGAAATTGCCTATACCGTATAACTTTTCAGGTAATTTCAGTCGCAAAGTGCATTTGCGTTTTATAGTGGCGGTAAAAGTATGATTATGATTACGTTTTCCTATAAACAATAACAATACTAATAAATTTCTAATGCTTTGTTACGAGGATCCATATTTTCGATTTGAGTTTTAATGAAAATTTATGGATTTTCTAAACTACCAATTTCTAAAGTAAGGGGAAAAGCAAGTAAACACGCATGGCGCGTTATCTGTGTCATGTAGCTGGCGACTGGCGAAAACATTAATACAATTTGCAGAAAATTTAACAGAAAATCGGATTATATATTATATAGTACGACTATTAAGATCATCATTATTCACGATCTTTCATTCAAGAAATTAAACGAAATTCAGATATAATGTAGTGAGATTTCATTTTCGCCATTCATATTTATAGCAACTCTGTGCTCTTTTCATATGTGCTCTTTTTCTTATATACCATGAAAAGAAAAAAACCAAATAACGTCTTTCTGCGAAACGAAGAAAATTTTACATGGCCATCGCGATCATTTCGAAATTGTTAAAGTGTTTGGACAAGTTCAATAAATAAATAATAAATAGTTCAAATAGATCAAAGTCATTATTTAATTTTGACTCAACAGTTTATTATTTGGACATATAAGCCACAAATCTATTGGCTTAGTCCATCTCTGTTTC